GTTACAAGTCATTCTTATATTTGGTAAGTTACCGATAGGTTTAAATTCAATATAGTTTTATAATGCCTTATGATTTACCTGATTTAAAAGTTAATGAACTTGAAATCATTTGAACAAGCAAAATGCTTTTTCAAGAAAGCCTTAGAAATTAAAGACTTTGCTGCATGAAACTTCAGTCTATTAATTTAGATTAATAAAAAACAAATCCGATCCCGATCGAAATTTCTAATGTTATTTAATGCAAAACGAAAAATTAGCTTTGTTTAGCCTTAGTAATTTAGGTTACGTATCACTTCATAGAAAATCACTTTATAGACATCTCATTTCATAGACTATCAATTCATATACAATTTTGTTTTAAAGACAATTAATTTACGGACAGTTCATTTCATAGACAGTTCTTTTATAGATAATCATTAGTCTCAAATAACTTCCGAATCAGCATTAAAGATTGTCTATAAAATGAACTGTCGATAAAATAAATTGTCTATGAACTGTCTTTAAATTAATTATCTTTAAAATAAACTTGTCTATGAATTGATTGCTTATTTATCATGAATATGTAATTCCTACCAAAATCTTGAGGTTCTTCCCGAATCCAAGTGCTAACCATAAAAGTGTGACCATGACCCGAAGTACTACACATCCCAGCTCACCATTGGAGTCTACACATTATGCTCTCCCAAAACCGATGGTGACAACGGTATCTGTTATCCTATTGATGCAAATCCTATCTAAATAGTAACTAACCCTAATTAAGTATAGATCTGCATCACACCTTTGCGCGGATTTCACCCTTTGTTACTATCAAGATTCGGGAGAGCGATAAGCAACGTCCAACGATGCCAATTTCAACGCTGATAGTAGACTTGGATGAAATGATAAATTAAGCTTTATATATTCAATAGAGAATCGAAAGTGTAAGCAATAATATATGCAGGTTAGATTTTATATATTCGAATATATTATATTTATTGTACGATCAATTAAGAAACGTTTGAATATAAGAATAAATAAATAAACAATAAAATAAATAAATAAGTGAATAACTGAGTAAATAAATAAATAAATAAATAAATATAAAGACAGAAAAAAATAACTAATGAAGATAATACAAGCGAGAATTCGAATCCTAAACTACTAAAGGGGATATGTCGAAGACTAAAGACCGAAAGAAGGACGAATCGTAGGTCTATATATACAGGTCGAGACGCCAGAGATATACAATAAAGATACTATTTAGGTCTTGATTCTAATAAAGTACTAAAGAAGATCTCATGAATTAGCATAATTTAGTACGAAAATAGTATGAAACAATAAAATTGACGTGTAAATCGTAAAAACTAAACGTCGATCGAAGATCACATGAAAGAAAAGCGCAATTTTGAACACTAACACCTTTCATATTATATTTTTCTTTGAATCTTTTAGGGCTTAAATTTGTTTATCATTAAAATTTTGTATTATAATTAATTGTCCGGAGCGTAGCGGAGGACTATCTATGGTGTAGTGATAGACCAGATTTTGTGTGTAATTATGTCCACACCTATTTTTAGATCAGATGATCATCAATTTATCTAATTTGTCTGTTTCTATTTTTAGCTCCGGACATTTAACAGTGCCTGTTTTCCTAGTTGTAAAAGCATATGGAACTAATTTGATGCGATTTCTAGTTGTAGGTAATATGTTTTTATCACATTTACATGAAAATTTTAAAGAATCTGGTAACGAGTATCTATAAGTTAATCCATAATTACTTTATCGAAATAAAAAAAAAACCATGATTTTTATATAGTTTTCGCTATACATTTACAAATCAATCGTACAAATGTGTACAATTGCATACAATCTTCATACAAGGTTCCAGGTTAACTTCCCAAAGTTCATTTTTCGGAAATACCATTTCACCGAAATCGTAATACTGACAATTTTGATCTGTGTCATTTCACAGACAATCAATTCGCTTAAAAGTTTATTTCACCGAACAATTACTTCACCGGCAAGTTTTTTTAAAAAATTGCACTAAATTCTAATTTTAAACTGACCTTAACAACAATGATTGGAATTATTTTTCGGTAAAATGACTGTCAGTGAAATAAGTTGTCGTAAATGGGTCTCGTCGAGAAACAGGGATATCGGAATTATGGGGTTGGAGAAATAGCATTTCAAGACGGTGGACTTGGAAAGTGAGCAACAATGCTCATACAATCACATACAATGCTTATACAATGATTATACTTGAATAATCGGTATGTAGCGATCTACAAGTTTTATATTAATTTGCAACCGCAATAAATTTTTGCAAACCGTAATAATAAGCAGAGTAGAATAAATTTTTTATAAATATGAGTGAGATTTAGCCAATTCTTAAATTTCAAAATCAAAATTATAAATTGAATTATTATAAATAGAAAATAAAACATTTAATCCTAAATTTTTTAAAAAAAATCGATTAATTCAAGATAACAAACCTTTAATGAAAATAATGTTTGCATATAAATTACAAATTATAGAAGGCTTATTAATTTTACTATCAATAATCAACACTTCTACAGCATACTCTATTAATAAAACGAATATTACCCCCGAGATCCTTCGTATCCTACACATCATGTCTCCAATAGGTACCGTGGAGATCTTATATCAATGGAGTTTAATTGCCTCTTCTGGGTTGATGGAAACCGTGTAGCTCGTTGGAAAGAATGCCTTTACTCAAACGATTTTGATGGTAAAGATTCAGTAACAGTATGGTATACTGTACCTCCCCAGGGTGGGCAGCAGGATATTATATTGGGGCATATGACTCATTATACAATCAAATGTTTTCAACTGATTATGTAATGTGGTATAATGACAATTCCGATAAAAAATATTGTAATGATCTTCATTACCATATTAAGTTTTTTCATCTGAAATTGAGTCAGAATACGTATGATGTCGTAGACCCTGACAAGTGTGAATGGGATTAATTAATAACTAGCGTATCTTGGTTTGCTTACGCAACTCACCCAATTCTTAATGGATAGGATTTCGCTGTACTACCAGTAGTACTTTGTACTCAATTGTGACACTAGTAAAAGCTAATTATTAACTAATTTTAAAACTTAACAATCTATTTAAATATTTTTTGTAATATGCTTTAGGTATATGCAAGTATATAGTTAAAACTTCATAGCTTTAAATAGTTTTTTAAATTTTTTAGATATGTTTGAAAATTGACTTTTTTATTAGTAAATTTTGCTAGTAAATTTTATATTAAAAACTAGAGCTAGAATGTGAAGGGTTATTTTTGGTAATGAATAAAGTTACAGTTATAAGGATTTATTTAGCTTTGAGGTATTTAGAAGCCCAATTGTTGTGATTTTTTTGATAAATGGTCATATTCTTCTAGTACTAAGGGATCAGTTCATATAGCAAATTTGTCTAATGCACGAATATCTAATGATGATAGTGATTTTGTTTGACTAATTGCTACATAGGCTTGTTCATAAGCAAAGATTTGTTTATCTAACCAAATTGTAGCATGCGGTAAAGTTAAACCTTGAAGTGGATATTGTGTTTTAGATGCGTGTGTGCTATTAAAGTTAAAGTATGCTATAGTTTGTTTGTTACTATGTCTACTATGCTATTTAGTACTGCAAACCCTAGCTGAAAAGTTGGTATTGTTTAGTATATTACCCTTGAGCCTACTTTGATATGTAGGCGTGCTGGTAGATTTGTTTTATATCTTCAGTTTGGTTTGTTTGTAATTGGGATCTGTTAATTGTATTGATTGCTAGAAGGTCTATTTCAGCATCTGTAGTTAGAATGAGACTGCAAATAGTTTCATTGATATTATTAGCAAGTTGATGATGGCCAACTATGTTTGTTGTATTTATGTTATAAGTAGTACAAGTTTTTATAAGTTTTTGCTATAAAGTTTTCTATGTGAAATCTGAGATTTTCCCAATGCGAATTTCTTGGAGAATGCTAAAGAACTGTGGATCTTGATGTTGTTAGTGAGGTGTGGTTAGAAATAATAGATAAAAGAGTTTTCATACAGATGATAGAAATACCAGCATTCTATGGACTGGTAGGAGTTGTGCTAAGTCACCCGAAACTATGGCATTAATATCACCAAATGCTAAGGCATTTTATGTATACAAGCAAAGATATTAGATATAAAGGTAAACAGTATATCTAAAACTATTAATATTTCATCTATTATTATCATTTAGATTTTTTGTAGTTCTTTTAATTTTTCATTAGATCAGAAGATTGATGTTTATAATATGTCAGAGTTTGTAATATTAAGTGCAAAGTGTATTGTTTTACTACCAATATTATTAGTAGCTCCTTCTGTTGAAGTAAATAATAGGTATTTAACATTTTTGTTGCAAAGTTTATTGATAAATAGGTTTATAATATAATATTTTCCTGTTCTTGCTAGACCAGTAATAAAGAAATATAGTTATTTACATGCATTTTGCGAACCTAATGTTGATGATAATTTGTTTAAGACTATGTATTAATCATGGAGTAAATTGAATAGAGCAGTTTTTGAAATATTAATAGAAAATTTTTGTAGATCTAAAAATTGAATACTGTATTATATAGATTTGCAATTTTATTTTGAGGAATTGAGTGAATTAGATTTATTATTTGTAGAGAGCAGATTAAATGTTGGTAGCTTTTAATTTGTTGAATTAGCTGGTATTGATCTGTAAAACATTTCATAAATATTCATAATAGGTTAAATAGCTTCTTTTGATTTTATTTTTGAAGCAGAATAGAAAGTTTAAAAGTACTTAGCAGAAACTTGAGTTTTTTTAACAATATAATTATTATATTAAAATAATATAATTTTAATATTAAAACAATATAATTTATTAGTTTTTATATTGTTATTATATAATTTTTATATTATTTTTTGTATAGTTATAAAGCATTATACAATGCAATAATTTAATATATAAAAATATTGTTATAATATAATTATAATATTATTTTAATATATTAAATCATATAATAATAATATAATTAAATAAATAAAATTAAAAGCATTTTTATAATATATTTATAATATAATTTTGATATATCAAATTATATTATATTGTAATTATATTGTATTTGTGTTGTTATTTTTTATAACTCTAAAATTATAATATAAAAATTACTATAATAATTGTATTATTAAAAAAAACCAGGTTTCTGCTAAGTAAATATTAAAAGAATTCTTTACCATTTTCTATTGTTAGATACGTAGTTCTTATTAAAATTAGATATTTATATTTTTAACTACATGCTGATTTTGGTTTATGAATAGGTTTGGTTTATTTAATGAGATATTTTGTGTATGTGTGACCTTGTAATATTTCCAGTAGTCAAAAGAGTAATACGAATAGTAGTAGAGTATGATTTAGTAAAGTAGTGGAGTATCATTAGTGATGTTATCCTGTTTGCCCGAACTCAGTTGGAACCGAACCCGATGGAACTCGAGTTTTGTCGATCACATGATTTTCATTATAATATTATGCTCCGAACGAGTTTGAAATAGATTAGAGATGTGCTTCTCGCGCGAAATGCTGATGTCATAATAAATTATTTATATTATCTCGCGTGAGGATCAATTTAATGATATCAGCAATTCGCGCGAGAGGCACATCTCTAAAATAGATCAGATGAGCAATGCTTGATTAGTAATAAACTTTGGACTTTTAATTACTATCGTTACGACGAAAAAAATTACTATCATTATGACGAACAAAAATCAATTGTTTTTGCTTCTTTTTTTTTTAATTAAAAGTTAATTTAATGTGGCGTGAGATGACAATTTATTATTTTTCTTTTTTTTTTTAATATAGATATGCGACTTTCTCTTTTTTTTTTTTTACATATTTTTTTTTGTTTTACTTAATTTCACTGTTCAATGGACGAAGACAATACATTTGAAGAACTTATTGATTCAACTGAACCTACCTCTTCAAGCTCAATATCTCAAAATCTAATTGAATCTGG